ATTGTTGAATATAATTGTTATAAAGGCCAAAAAAATAACAAAAAAAAAACAAATAAAATTCATAACAAAAATATTTTTTAACAAAATTCTCTTTACATACTTATTTTCAACAATTTTCATCCAACATTTACTGAAATATCGTAGTTTTTGTATTTTTCGAAAATACTGTCATATGGGAACTAGGCGAGGTCACAGTCCGATTTCGCTCATTTTCAATACCAACCTACCTTGAAATGGTGTTTCAATCATTAAACTTCTCGAAGTGTTATGGAATATATGGTTCTGGATTGATCTGATACAGTGCTTTTAGCTTTCTTTTTCTTTCGAAAATATCTATGTTGTTTACGTGACTATTTTACGCACGTACGTGTGCATTATATGTATGTATATGCCCTTATTTCGAAGCTAAATAGTTTAAGTAGAATCGATGTTTTAGTCTTGTTTTATTGGATGCAAAATTTAAAATAACTTTTGTAGTCTCGCTGTCAATTAAGCTATGAATAAACGCAATCCAGACAGTCTTTTCTCTTAAAGTTATTGTTACAATTTTAAAAAAATTAATAAAAAAAAACGCAAGTGTTATCTGAAGATCACTTGTTTCTTGATGTCTATTCAACTATAAAAGTCCATATGCGCTGTTGTATGACTATCAGTTGTTTTCCGTTCTCAAACTCGACATCATCAAAGCATCGAAACATGTGGCCCAGAAATTTCTTTGTACTCCGTAAGTCCTTAAGTCGTGGTACATATGTATATGATTTTCGTACTAACTTGTTGAATTCCAGTTTTTGGAGCTGTGCTTTTAATGACTATAGCTATCACTCAAGCTCAGCCAGATGTTACTGTTGAACCAACACCGCCTACAGAGCCAACACCACCTACAGAGCCTACACCGCCTGCAGAGCCTACACCGCCTACAGAGCCTACAGAGCCAACACCGCCTACAGAGCCTACACCACCTACAGAGCCTACACCGCCTGCAGAGCCTACACCGCCTACAGAGCCTACAGAGCCCACAGAGCCAACAGAGCCCACACCGGAAACTACGACACCTGCACGGCGAACCAGGAGACCTACGCGCCCGACTAGGCGACCTACGCGCCCAACTAGGAGACCTGTAGCCTCCCAACTAAATGACCTACGCCTTCAATTAGGAGACCTACGTCAACAGCTAACACAGCTACGTCTCCAAATAGGAGATCTACTTCTCCAACTAGTTGAACAGACTACTGGGAGACCACGCTCATAAGTGTGCTTCAAGCAATCTCAACAGCCAATCTAGGCAGCGTAAAATTGTGAAAAAGCTCGTTAGAAAATTCTGAATTTAATTATTTTTTCGCCTTGGATTGGTAAAGT